GATTCACCATGTAGTACAGGATAGCCTTGAACTCACTAAGTAGCCAAGGCTGGCCTCCAACTTGTAGCAATCTTCCTGCCTCAGTCTTTCAAGTGCTGGAAGTATAGGCATGTGCCCCCATGCCCAGCCAAAGGCTTGTTTCTGATACATTGATTTTCTTGCATTAATACCTACTTCATGAAGTATAGCATATTCAGCACTTGATACTGAGCATAATGTACTGTGGATGTTAATAAATATTAGGTTGAAAGACTGACTGTAAAGGGACTGGGGATTTATCTCAGTGGCATAAGCGCCTGCCTTGCAAGTGTTTGGTCATGAGTTCGATCCCTGGTACCGATAAGAAAAAAACAAACAAACAAACAAAAAAGACTGACTATATAGATGATAGCCAGATCCTATACGAAAATAGAACTCTGACTCACAATCTGCAGCAACCAGCCAGAAAACCAGCCCACTATGGGTAGCCAGTCCAGGGAGCCAGCCTGCTATCTAAAACTAATGGATACACAGATTACAGACCTGTAAAAAGTCAGTTAGTTGGTGGCCCACACCTGTAATCCTCTAGGAAGCTGAGGCAGAAAGGCACAAGATCAAGCCCAGTCTGGGCAATTTGAAAATTTAGCAAGACCCCAAATGTTTAAAAAGGGAGTGGGGCTGTTGCTCACTGTGAAGGCTCTGAGTTCAATCTCCAGTACCACCATCAAAAAAAAAAAAAAAAAAAAGAGAGAGAAGGAGAGAGGAAGAGAGGGAGAAAAAGAGGGGAGAGGAGAGGGGAAGGGAGAGAAGGGTAAAGGAGGACAGAGAAGGGGAGGGGAGGAGAAGAGAGGAGAGGAGAGGTGAGGAGAAGAGAGAAGAGAAAAGTGAGTCACTTATCAACCAATTCTGGAAGCCAAATAATAATCTCTGCAATAACTGGTCCAAAATAACAAGGACTTGATTAATAATAACTAACAGCTTCCCTAATTGTTGTCCTGTTTCCAATTAGGACCAGCCAAATACACACCCTAACTCAACACACAAGATGCCAGCTCTAGTTAGCGTGTGTATAACCTCCCCATGCCATGAGCCTCCAGGTAAGATGCAACAGGATTAATGAGACAGGAGCTGGATTCTATTGGGCAGTCAGTAGATGGTCCACAAATGGAGTCTACTGAGTCACAGCCTTCCAAAAATATCTGCCAGGTGTCATTCTGCTATTTGGACCCTCTCCCTCAGCATGGTCAGGCAGACCCATTAGCTCAAGGGAAGGTGGACCCTGCATAGACACTTCCTAAACACTACACATATTAGACCCTAAAAAATTTGTCTCTTATAGAATAAATATTATATTTGTGCAATAGCGTGAGCCCCCTTCTACGTCCCTTAGAAACCCCTAGACAAAGAGCCCCCACGGACACGCTACTAAACAATCCCCTCTTGGTTAATGGGAGCTTCATTTCTTTGCCTTTTTATCTGCTACTTTCCTGCCTTTATATTGTTTAGATACATTTGTTTGCACCCTACCTCCTCCACACTCAGTTTCATTCTTCACCAGTGTGGGACACAAACCCAGCATTCTGGTAACATTTTAGGGGCTCATCCAGGATTCCAAGAGACAATAAATAAAGTCCATGCTTTTGCTGCACTTTTTACTATCACTTTGCAGGTTTTATGCTTTAAATAATATCATTTCACCAATTAAAGGTGATTACCGTGGTCATCAACCTTACAGGCCCAGGGGACAGGTTTCACTGATGTGGGCTGAGCTGATCCCTCTGTAACACGAGTTGAGGGAACATCGGCCCAAGCTCACCTCAGTTTTCCTTACTGATTTGATCATGAGGAAGTGATCTCTGCCCTGGGTGCTCTTTTCTCTATCATGACTCCCTTTCTTGGCAAGCTGAGCAAGGAGTTACGAAGGACCCCTATCTTGTTGTCTCATTTTAATTGTTGTACTCCGGCAGGCGTGAATCAGATACTTAAAGCCACGAGGGCATTTGTACTTTCAGAAGACCCCCATGAAAGGATAAGTTGGTGGGGTGGAGCACTGTCGGCTCCACTGAGCTCAGGACAACCCCTAAACATCTTCTCGGTTTACGCTTTTATGTCTGTACAACAAAAGATAAACTGTCTTTGTCATATAATCTTTCCCTATATCCTAAAAGTTTTGCCCTGGTTGCTTCTGAGTTCTAAGGGTCTTGCCTATAATTCTTGCTCTTGCTTCTGAGTCACAGTCTTCCTGTCACTCAAACTCCTATTTCTTCTTTCCCGCCTGCCAAATTGCTCTCCTAGTCCCCTGGATGTCAGATAAACTGTTTTTAAACAAAGGTACAACTTTCATTTTTTAAATCATATGCAGCCTGCACTGGGTCGTAGATAACAAAGTTAGGGTCAGCTCCTCTCTAGCAATACCGAGGGACGGAACAAACCTTGAGTAAGAGCCTTACATCAGGGAACTGAGACTGCTGCTGAACTGCTTGCTAAATATTGTGACAACTTACTAAAGAAGTCAGCAAAAGGGATGACTGGGAATAATGTAGAAGACAAATTGACAAGCTTTACTGTTTTAGAAACTATCGATGATAAAGACCGTTTCAAAAGTTCTATACAAGAATGTTGGCAAAACACTTGATTCATGTATTATCTCTGTCTATGGGTTCTGAAGAAGCTATGATCAATAAGCTAAAGCAAGCCCATGGTTATGAGTTTACCCCCAAGCTAAGCTATGAGTGTCAGAACCAATCTCATAAGTAAGTTCAACAATTTTATCAGAAACCAAGACACGATAATAGGTATGGAAATTAGTTTTCATGTATATGTTCTACAGCCTGGTGCGTGGCCTTTGGCTCAGCACCCTTCATCTATGTTTGCGATTCCCTGGGAATCAAAGAAGTGTACAGGTGTTAGAATTATCATACAGCCACCATTTTAGTGGGAGGAAACTGACATGGTTCCACTGTCTTTGTGCAGGTGAAGTTAAAATGAACTATCTGGGCAAACGGGATATGGCTGTGGTCACAACACACCAACTGGAAGTTCTCCTTGCCTTTATAACAGCAGTGAAATGGTTGGCTATAAAGAGCTTTAAGACAGCATTCAAAAAACGAACTGACAGAAACAATCAAATCATTACTTCATCTGAAAATGATTAACCATGATTCAGAAAAGCAATACATTAATGCAGAATCTTCATTTTCATTAAATATGGGCCTCAGCAGTAAATGAGCAAAATTTACAAATACCATATCACTGTAAAAAAAAAAAAAAAACCAAAAACACAGGAGTTGGGTGTGGGGGATGAGGTGTCACTTTGTAGGCCCCAACCCCCTCAGACCTGCAATATACAATAGCCCCCGGTATGCGAGACAGAGGTAGGACAGGAATGCCTGTTCTCGGTGAGATCTCTCACCCTCTGGAAACCATACTGTGAGCTGGCTTTGTTTTGCAGAAGTCTTGAGGAAGTGGCTGGCCACCCTTTGTGACACTAACAGCAGACAAATTAACAACATTCTTGGGCTAATGAATTTCTTCCTGGGCTAGAGGAGTTAGAAGAACTGGTTGTGATTATTTACTTCACTTAGATAGTTTAGAATAAACATTGTAGTCTGTCACATTGTAGCTTGTCACAAAGAATGCCTTTTCACTACTTAATTGTCTGGGCTCTGTGAACTGATCCGGTTTACTATATATGAATCTTAAAATAAAGATTGTGCGTGCAGTGCAGTGCAACGTGGTGCAGGCAGTAAAAGTGCCATGTCTCCTCTGTTTTCCTTTCCGAGCGCTGCACCCCCCGTGTCCCGATCAGGCGTGTTTGCGTGTTTGCCTTTCCCGGAGTTCAGAGTACCCTAGATACTCACGACAGTTGGGCATGGTGGTGCATGCCTATAATCCCAGCACTCTGGAGGCTGAGGCAGGAGGATCATTGCAAGTTTGAGAGCAGCCTGGGCTACAAAGGGAGCTCAAGGCCAGCCTGAACCTGCATAGAGAGATCTTGTCTCAAAAAGACTAAGTAAATAAAATTTTAAAAGAGATAACCACAGGAAATGGAGCAGACTAGGAGGGCTGTAGGTGAGGACCAGCAAATGTATCTGCAAGCTGCTATAGTTCATATCATGAAAGCACAAAAATTGCTTCAACACAATACCTTTATTCAAGAGGTGATCTGCCAGTTGAGGTTTGAACCCAGCATCAGCGTGATTAAGAATTGCATCAAGGACCAGGGATTTAGCTCAGCAGCACAAGCACCTGCCTGGCAAGTGCAAGGTCTTGAGTTCAATCCCTGGTACCAAAAAGAACAAAGAACTGTGTCAAGGTTCTGATAGACACACAGCTCACTGATCGCAGTCAGGTGTGTGAGGCTGCACACAGCTTGGTCACACCATGTCACCCGCTGCAGTGTGGGTGTGAGATTCGTGCCATCACCCCTGGTGCACTCCTGTGGGAAGAAGCAGGCTGGTGCCTCCAGCCTTCAGTCATTTGGCAGAGCCTGTTATTCTGCTATTTACAGCATCACCAGGGCCACCTCATGAGTGGTGACAAAAAATGCCTGGGCATATTCCAAGCTCATGTCATCATGACATTTCTTAAACTTTATCAACAAGGGAGTGAAGTGTGGCTGGAATCTAGAAATTCAGTTGAGTGCCTTGCTTTGTTCCCCTTTGTGTTAGCAACTGGTGTGATTTAAAAAAAAAAAAATTACATCTTAAAGGACATAAAATAAAAACTTAAACATTGTAAATTAACAAATATCTTAGAGATACTGACCACCTTCTGTGCTCAGTCTGCCTCCTCACTGTGTGGTAGTCACACATTAGCTAGGCCACAAGAAGGGAATGAGGGAGTCGCTGGAGGGAGCCCATTGGCGGATTAGGCCCCCAAAGCAACAGCTCAAAACCCTTTCGCCCAGAGTCTTGCACAGACATTCCTGTCCTGGAAACCCCTCTGGGAACCACCAAACTTGTTTGTAACAAAGTAGAGACAAAGTGGGCCCTGTCACAAGGATATTTGCTTCTCCTTTCAGGATGGTTCCAGACAAAAGGGATAAACCTGCTCATATTCCAGCCAATCAGTGGAAAATCCTTCTGTCTTTCTACCAAGCCTTTCACTTACAAAAAAAAAGGTATATCACATGACCCAGAGGTTGGTGAAACGAAAGGGGTTTCATGAAACAATGCTTACCAAATTGTAAGTATAATGAGGTTTGCCAATGGAAAAACTCTACCAGGAATGGTGGCACATCCTTGTAATCCCAGCACCTGGGAGGCTGAGACAAGGGCATCATCATGAGTTTAAGGCTGGCCTGGGCTGTATCGTAAGTCAGGGCCAGCCTAAACTCCATAGAGAGAACCTGTCTTCAAAAAAAAGAGTAACTCTCCAAACAAAAAGATTTCACCCCATGAACACAATGAAATGGAAATGGGAAACCTCAGAAAAGATTGGCAGATAGATTTCCCCAAATGCTTAAGAACAGGGTACCCTAGTACTTCTTAGGATGGGTAGACAGCTTCACCAATTGGATAGAGGCCATGCCATATAAGACAGAGATGGCTGTGAGATGACAAAGACTTTAATGTCAGAAGTTATTCCCAGGTTTGGGCTCCCCCAAAGCCTCCCTTTAAGGCTGCTATCACCCAGGAAATATCCCAAGTCCTGGAGACTCAATGCTATCTACGTTGTACTGTAGCCACAGTCCCCGGAAAGGTATAAGTACCCTTCGATGGTACCCGAGAAAGTTCAGCCTCTGGAGATTTAGCTCCATGGTTGTCCTACTTCCTTTAGCCCTGATACAAATCAGGATCCCTTCAAATGTCGTATGAGTGCCCCTTTCTCACCAACATGGAGACACATGGTAACAGCCCCAAATGTCAACATATCCTCCAACAATTGTCTAAAGCTTGTGCCAGGGAACCAGGACCCCCTACATTCGATCCCAGAGATTTGGTCCTGGTGAATTCATCCCCCTTTTCGTCTCCTTCTCTAAACCCAACCTGAGAGAGACCTCACACAGAGATCCTGTCCACCCCAACAGCTGTCAAGGTGACAAGAATCCAGCCCTAGATACATTGTCACCACCCAGAGAGGAAGAGACTGACCATTCCACTAGGAGCAGCTAGAAAACCTCAAACTCCTCCTCAAGAAAAAAGTCACCCAACTCCACAAAAGATAAAGAGGATTCTAGATCGGACTCTGCCTTTCGCAGAGAGGGAAAGATGTAGTGTCACCAGTGCCTTCCCTGATTCTCTAGCGAGTCCACCTTCCCAGTATCTAGATCCGTCTCTAATCTGGGCTGCTTCCTAAAACAAGCTCTCCCTCCTAATTCCCTATGGCAGTAGGCCTGGGCCCTTAAAGGCCCTTCACCCCGATTCTGACACTTCACTGTTCCTCTTTGTTTGAGGCCTTGCTTACTCAATCTGCTTGTTTGCTTGTTTCCTCTCCCCTAGAGTCTACTGACCTTCAGATGGTGGTGCAGATGGAACCCATCCGGGGATCCCGCCTGACCTTTATCGCGGCCCATTAAACAACCCTCTGGAGGATGCCCTAACTGCAGAGACTTTCTTCTCACATCCCCAGTACAACCAGAGTGGTCTTGGTCCTCTTTCCCTACCAGTGGGTAAGATCACCTCTTCGGAGCAGGAAATGTAACAGGATTAGGGAAACAGGAGTTAGGATTCTATTAGGCAGTCTGGACAGCAACCCTAAAATGGAGTCGGGAAGCCCCAAATGGAGCTTACTGAGTCGCGGCCTTCCAGGAATTTTACAAAAGCACCTGCCTCAGCCATCCAGGACCTCCCCTGAGCATGATCAGGCAGGCCACTGGCTCAAGGGCGCGAGGGGCCTGCACGGCAGTCTGCGAACATTGCATAGATCAGATCCTAAAAGATACACAGTCTCCTACAAGGGCAGAGATCACACCGCTCACACAGTGGCCGGAGCTCCCTTCTGAGCCCCTTAAAAACCCTTAGATGGAGCCCTGTGGGTGCCTTCTCAACCCTCTCCCTGCTGCCCAGGAGCTGCATTTCTTTGCCTTTATGTCTTTTGCATTCTTGCCTTTATGTCTCTTAAGTAAATTTGCTTGTGCCCTTCCTCCTCTGTCCTAGTGTCATTCTTCATCACCATGGGACATGACCCCGGCATTCCGGTAACAAGGGCACCCCTGGAACCATGACTTTGCCCATTCTAAAGCTTTCCCTCTCTTCTGCCTGCCTTGAAGTCCCTGCCAAAACACTGGTGCTGATGGCTCTGCCAGCAAATTCTGGATAAGTCTTTACCTGTTCTCACTTGGTTGGTCTTCATTTATTTCCACCAGTTCAAACAATGCTTTCTTTATTCATCCTGTTACTAAATATTTAGTGAGTGTCTCTTCTAGGTCAGAGTCCACGCTGCTAAGCCCTAGAATAATGAATTAATTCAGATGCCATGGTTTCTACCTTAAAGCTGATTACAAGTTGACATGGTGGTGTGTGCCTGTAATCGCAGGGCTCTAAGAGGCTGAGGCAGGAGAATCCCAAGTTCCAGCCCAGCAAGGACAACTTAATAATTTGGTGAGACCCTGTCTCATAATAAAAAAAATTGAAAAGGCTGGCCATGTAGCTAGGTACACTGGCCCTGGACTCAATCCCCAGTCCACAAAAATAAGTAAATAAAATAGATTGTGGTTCATTGGGAAGAGAAATGCCAGAAAGCAGTAAGCTAAGTCCAATCAACAAAGCACTGTGATGGGGTGGGGGCGGGGTAGCAGAGCCAGGCTGGAGGGTCAGGGAGAGCTTCCTGGAAAAAGGCCGTTCACTCAGAGACTAAAGAACGAGCATGACCAAAGAGGGATGGAGAAAAGTTCGAATGAGAAAAAAGGGAAATCCCCCAGTGTAGAGTTGTTGTCATTGAAGGAAGCGAACCAAAGAAAAAACAACAGGCTTTGTGTTTCAGCTGGATGCTGCAAGCCCAGCAGCCCAGAGCAGGAAAGGCAGCTGGTGGTCACATCCTTCGCGGCTCCTGAAGAAAGTGGCCTTATCTGCAAGGCAGGATCACTGAACATATTAGGGCTGCAGTGAGACCAGACCAGGAAGAAAGGTTCATGGAGCAGGACACCCATTCCCAGGGCTCCTGGTGGGTGGAGGCTGTGGCTCTGTCAGGAGGATGAGCAGGAAGCAAAAGAAGCCAGAACCTGGGCAACAGGGAGAAAGTGGGCACAATCACTGAGCCAGATGAGGGCGAAAAGGTGAGCCCTGCATGGTGAGAGGATGGCGACACCTTCCAGAAGCGGCCATCTGTGCATGTCTGAGGCTTGAGAGAAGGATGGGGAGGGAAGTCTGGAGTCCTGAGCAGGGACATGGTCCTCCAAGCCAGGGAGATAGGTGTGATCCGTCAGCAGGCAGGCGAGGGCTCCAAACAGCACTCTGGGAAAAGGAAGAGAGGCGCATGCAAATAGACCACAAGGAGCGGCCAGGGAAGAAAAGAGAAAGGAGCCCAGGAGCGTGACTGACGGCAGGTCCCAAACACTGCCCTGGTTCCCAGAAAGAGTAACCCATAAATCCTCCTGTGAGTCCTCCTATTCCCTCCCCCACCCCGCTCCGGGAAGAAGGTGGCCCTGCAAGGAGCGGCTCTCAGCACTGCTGGAACCGGTCTTGTGTTGCCCCATAGTAACCTCAAGGCTGCACCATCAAGGTGCCTGTGTTCACACTACCCACAGAGCAAATCAAATGTTGAAAGAGAATGGGGAGCCATGCAAAGCTGCTCGTCTGTGATCTCAGCTACTCTGGACGCTGAGGCAGGAGGATTGCATGTTTGAGGCCAGGCTTAGCAACATGGCAACCAAGAAGGCACTGCCTCAAAAGAAAATTTAAAAGGGTTGGGGATGGAGCTCTGTGCTGTCTGAGTTTTACCCCCAGGACTGCAAAAACAAAATCACAATAAATGAAGACACAAATGTCTTTAGCACAAAGAATTCAGCAAAAAGGCCAGAGTGAATGTGAATTCCTGGGCCACACCGAGCACCATTCCTGCCTTGTAGCTTGTCTGTTATCCAGCCAGCTATTTCACTCACTAGCCCTGGTCACTGAAGACATCCCTCCCGACCCCAGGAAGAAAACCAAAATCCCTTTCCCTCTCCTCCCTGGCCTGTGAATGCAGAAGGGACCACAGACTGAATGCCCATCCATATTTATGGTCCTCCACCCTTGAAACCCTCACCCTGGCACCCGAACAAAGGGAGGGGACTCTCCCTCCTCCCTGCCCAGCATTCCCTCCCCAGTCCCTCCCCACCATCACTACTCCTGCCCCCAGTACCTCCATCTGTGAGCTTCTGCAAAGGTGACCCCTCTCCTTTCTCACTGCAGAAAGTGCCCTAAGTAACCAGCCTGCCTCAACTTTGATGACCAAGCACCAGGAAGAACACTCTTCAAACCGCCCTGGGTACCCAGCTCCACCTGCTCTCCTCACCCTGGCCTCCCACCCCCAGCCCCAAACCTCAGCTTCAAGGACACAGAACCCGAGGCAAATCTAGACTCCTAACACTCTAGCAGGCTGAGACAGGAGGATGGCAATTTGCAGCCAGTCTGGGCAGCTGAGTGAGACATTGTCTCAAAATGAACAACAACAAAGCCACCTCTCAGAACCCCAGCACAGTCTCAGAGAAATATAAAACATGCTCTCCAGTCCCTGCACCCTCACATTTTTGCAAATCAACCAGTCCAGGTGGCCCTGGAGAGACTCCAAGCAGGAGACTATGAGACAGAGGTCAGAAGTGCTTGCTTTTCCCTTTTTAACTCAGGGATTTTTTTTCCCTGTCTTTTTGAGCCAGGCTCTCTGTGCAATTCAGTCCAACCTTGAGCTCACTTTGTACCCCAGGCTGGTCTCAAACTAGCAATGATCTTCCTGCTTCAGCCTCCTGAGTGCTGGGATTATAGGCCTGAGCCACCATCCCCAGCTTCCTTTTTCCTTTTTAAATTAAAGTGAAAAGGAGCTCATTCCACCAGACTGTCCCCGGCTTGTCCCTTACACTGTGTGACCCTCTTCTCCTTAAAAGGGGCTTCTGTCCTGAGGGTGGTGACCCGGCCCAGGTGAGGACTGACGCCAGCACCACTCTGGGCAGAGGATGATTTCCTGATCGCTCTGCCCAGGACGTCACCTAGGGCCTGCAGTCCCACTCCCGGTGGCCCCTCCTTAAGCCTCCATGCCCCACAGCCCTTTTAGCTCACAGGTTCCCACCCTGGGAGGAATGAAGGAGGAGAAAGGCTCACCTGGCCCAATTGTTTCTGTCACCATCTGCAATAAAGATTTATCTCCTAAATTCTTGAGAGGCTTAAACCAACAAAAACAGCTCCCCAGCCCTCCAGGACCTGGCGCAGGGGAAGGGTGGGGCAGACAGTAAAGCAGGCCTTCATCCAATCCTACATCACTGTTTTACCAAACCCCGTCCTCCCACGGGTTACAGGCAAAGTTTGGCACCGTGCCCTTCCAGCAGCACCGGGGACAGCAAGGGCCAGAACAGTGAAACTGAGCCCGCAAGATGGGCAGGCTGAGCGGCTGCGAGACCAAGTCCACATGCACAGCTATGGGGAACCTCCCAGCCGACTCCCCTTGACTCTCATTGAAAAGAAGAACGTCTCCATCTTGGATAAACGTGGCTCTGTCTCCGTGTGTTGATGTGTACACAGCTGGCCAGGCCATTTCTTTGTCCTTCAGTCGACTTTAAGCAGTGTAAACTGGGCTGGCTGAGGAGCTAATGTGTCACCTCTGGAGCAAGGTGACAGTCACTGTTTTCTTGCCTAGTGATTCCCAGAAAATCATGGTTGATGATGGAGAAAGTCAGGTGGGATGGAGAGCCATGCTCCACACTGTCCACTGGGCCTGAGCCTCGAGAAAGAGGCTGTAACTTCCCAGGGCAGAAAAGATTGACCATCAAAGCTAAAGCACTGACCCCAAATTATTAAACATTGCCTCACCTGTGTTATGTGATAGAACTGTGGGGGGAGGACTGGCGGCAGCTGAAAAGATAAGAAGTATGAAATATAAATGACCTTTATTTTGAGAATGTGGGGAGACACCCCCGACCCCCGGGGTGCACCATCTCCACCCCGGGGTCGGTAATCTCTCTGTGGAACACATGGAGTGAGGCACATAAGTAGCCTCGGCTTGGGGTGGAACCTAAGGGGGGCATTAGGGATGCACAGCTGGCCCATTGGTCTTAGTTTGGTGCCAGAGGTAGATTCCTAAGGGTGGGGGAGATAGGAGCTCCTTGGCTTTACCAGCTGCAGTGTCCAGCCTAGGCCAAAACTTTTTCATATCCCGTCTTATGATTATTATGAAAAGGGGCAAAGATTTCCTGCTGGCTGAGGGCGCTGTACTGGGGTCTAGGGGAGTTCATGGGATGACAGTTGATGTCCAGGTAGAAGTTGGTGCCAGGTGTTTTAGCCAGGACAACTTCACTGGTGAATGCACGTATGTTAGACTGGAAAAACAAAGAGACATGATGTTATGAGGAGGCATGGCACTGTCATATTTAAGGACCCAGGTGAGGTAGAAGGAAGGTGCCTTTGATTTAGACATACCATTATATCAGGACCATGTTGAGGTAGAAACATTTCCACGCTAAGGCAAAATTCTGAAAATTAAACATGGGGTTAAGAGGAGTGAAGTTATAAGAGGTGCTTACTCCCCCATCTGAAAGCATAAAAGTTAAAAGGTAGGTCGGTAAGGCTTGTCTCTGGTATGCATGACGTTGGAGTCTGTAGGCAATACTGTTAAAGAGTCCTGCTGTAAAAATGATCATTAATAGAACGTAAGAAATTAGGAACCAAAGTGGATAACAAAACATAACAACCTGTGAGTCGTGGCCGTGAGGCCTTGGCAAGGCAGAGATGAGTAGGAAAAGGATGGTTAGATCTAGGGCCTGAGTGATGCGAAACCAGAACGGCAGTCTAGCAAATTTGATTATTGTTGAGGTTACCAAGAATATCAGGTATGGGTCGCTGTAACCTGGTTGTAGTCCTTGGAATGATTTGGTGTAACAGAACTTTAGCAAGTATATCAGCAGTTTCCCTGGTTGTGGGAAAGGCTTTCATGTATCCTGAAAAAGGTATAAACAA